CATGTATATCATTAAGAGACCTTTGCTTGTTTTCCAGGAAAACAAGTGATGAGGAATCGAATGATGAAGAAGGAGTAGAACACGGGTACACTGCTGGACCTGTCGTTGCTGCTACAGTTGTTGTCGGTAATGCTGGTGCTCTTGTTGTATCTGCTGCTGCTGCTGAGATTACATGATTTTCTTGAACTATAAATTCCTCGTTTTCCTTATTGTTGTTGGATAGCTCTATCTCAGCCTCTGAACGTAAACTTGGCTTCGATTTTTCTACCATTAAATCCCAAGTTTCTTTTTCATCGAACTTAACATCTTTACTAACAATTAATTTCTTGTCCTCGGGAACAAATAAGGGCTAAGCCTTTGATCATGCAAGATCTTAACAAGGACGGAAAAGATAATCCGACTTGTGTTAATCTGAATGCTGGGGATCTCTATCAGTATTTTACTCTGAAGAGTGCATTGGTTTCAACTGGCTCCAAAAGTGCAGGAAAAAACGAGATCGTTGAGACTGAGACTCGAACAGTGAAGCAGCGTCTTGGGTTCCCAATATTCGAAACGGTTGTTCCAGAAATCAAGGTGTCATCCATTGCTTCGACTTCAGAAAACTTTGATTTCCAGCCTGAAGGGAAGAATGCTGACATTGAAAGATTGGAGAGAATGATGGACATAAACATAGCCTGCGAACCGGATCAGGTTTCTGCTGACGAACTGAATGTCGATAACCTGGAGAAATAAGATCAGGGTGCCTGTGTCCGCCCGAGTCTTCATTGATTAGAACTCCTCTGCTAATGATTGCAAAGATCTTCAGGTAGCAGTGTCTAGTAGAGAAAGGGTCAGTGTTAAGGCGCCGTTGGATATAGACCTCGAAGCTCCAGCGTCCATGGAGAGTGACGACGATGATGATAATCGATTCATCGAACGGAATGTTCCATATGACTTACAGGTGCCATCTTTAAAAACTGAAAGGGCACAAACAAGGGATGAGATTTCTACTAATGCAGAAGAAATGTTAGTTCTGATGTGGTCGTGGTGTCCGTAAACCTAACCAGAACAAACGCAAAAGCCTCAATGAAAATCAACTGCCATTTGAAAAAAAAAAAATGATCCATAATGGCAATGTATTCTTTGTTATTGCTAGTATTAAGCGATGAATGTGTGGACAAAGTTGTAAGATCATGTTTGAGGGATGATCCTGCTCTAGTATGTTTGCAAGTTAGACAATTACAATATCGTCAGAAACATATATCTTTTGGCAAGGGGTTGTTACCTGTTTAAGTTTGATGATTACTATGATGCTTTCTCCATAATTTGGTTGTTCGAATGAAGAAAATTTTGGGGAAAATTGCATTACAAATTATACTTATTTAAATTTAATATTATGCATATACTCTCTAGATGCTAATATGGTGCATGACTCATTATAATTGATTGACTGTTTAATTCGCATAAAAAATTCTTTTCGAGAACCAGTGACTCCATTATAAATGATTGGCTGCATTTGAAAGTTTTCCACTAATGTCGTTTTCTGGTTGGAAAGTAATGCTTTTCGTTTTTGTGCAATTTGTTAATTATTTCTTTAATGATGCAAGTAGTGTAATCGCTACATGCAAAATCAGCATATTTAACAAGAGCTCAACAGTTGAAAATAGGCCTTTGCCTTTCTAATACTTCCATACAAAGCAACGTAGCAATGAAATTTCTATCATGCATGATTAATAGTTCTCTGTAATGAAATTTTCTGGCATTGCTAAGGTTTAAAACTGACATGGGTGTTAAAATTTCTGCATACCTGCGACAATTCTTCGTCGACTTATTGGTTCAATTAGCTATGATTTTGTATCGTTTCTCATGAGAAAGATTGATAAAACCTTCAGGCTAGGATTCTCCCACTATGATTGGGGATCATCAAGCTTATTTGGATACTAAAAGAACAACTACTTTAGGGTGAGTCCTGGAGATACCTTTTTCATTTCGTAGAAAGAAATATCAATATCATCTATTGGAATATTTCCATTGCTTATACCATTCTAAGATTCTGAAATATAATAAATATGGTTTCAATTTCTGAACAAGGGGATTAGTATACTAGTCTTTTCATGTTACTGCAATTGAAAATACATGCAGATGTCAGGCTTCTTTGGTGTAATTTCTTCTCTTGTCGCATCAGATGTGATACATTTTTAACAGTTGTATGTAATGGTTTTCATTTTTATTGTATGACGTATTTTTGCACGATTAGAGTGGGAGAAGTTGATTTATTCCTGCATGTGTAGGGTTGCGCAACAAAACTTCACTAATGGTGGTTGAGGAAACTTTTAACAACAAACCCATAACATATGTCCTAAGCGACAACTTCGCGGGTTGAGGTAACATTAGCGCTGATTTGGGCAGTCAGCATCCTGACCTTGGCCCATATGAAATGGCTCTAACGTAGAAAGATATATATGGCTAAGGCCATCTTTTGATGATGACTCGAGACTACATGCTCCAGGACTAATTAATTAGATGGAAACATATAAATATATACATATATACAACTATTTTCTGTTTACAAAAATCTTTATTAATCAATTAATTTGCAAATGGCGCAAAAATGGCCGAGGAATCTCCTGCAGTCACGTCTGTCAGGCTTAAGGCATCTGCATTTGAAGACAAAGCTTCACGTCAAGGAGTATTAATTACGGCATCACATTTTCCATCAACAGATTTTCCATCGACATATGCCCCCTTAGATTTTCCAGGTAATTATTATTAAGAAAATTCATCGATACATTCATATAATTATTATTAACAATACCTAATGATGTATGTGAATTTGAATCTGCTGCTTAATCCATCTATTTGCATGCAATATTTTAGATTTGCAACTGTTATGTGCATATTTGCAATTGTTTTATGCATCATTGTCAACTAAAATATGTTAGGTGTTCTTAGTTATTACATTTATTACTTAGAGATGGGCTTAGCAAAAAAATGTTATGACAGTTAAAGGATTGAAAAGTAAAGTATTTCTACACCTTTGAAAGTGTACAACACAAAAATATTTAAAATTAAAATATATACTAACTGAAATTAAAATAACTGTTTATTTAAAATTAAAATTATTATATACAATTAAAAAGTAGAATTAAAACTGAGACTTCTAAGAAACCCTAGACACGCCCCATCCGGCATCCGCTTCTTCCTCTCCTTTGTTCGTACTTTGTTCGTCTTGTTCGTTCTCCTGCTTCTTCATTCTTTCATCTTTTTTCTTTTTCACTTTTCTTCTTCTTCCCGTACTTCCTCATTTTCCTTCTTTTAAGTTATCCGTACCGCACCCCTGAACCGCGCCGCCTCCGCCTTTCTCGACCGTCGACCATCGACCGTGCTCCGCTGCGGCCTTTCTTGACTCGTCGAATGCGAGCTGCCCGTGCCCGCCGACAGTAAGCCACGTTTTATATGATTTCTTCATTCTATTGTTTTAGTTTATTGTATTGAGGCAATTTCTTTTGTGCCACTGCTCTTTTTGTTTTGTTATTTTGCTAAATGTTGGGTGAGGATCGCAACTTGCGTTATTTTGAAAAAATGAGATATAGTGAAGCCTTCTAGCTTTGAATCTGTTTAATTTGGCATGTTCGTGTTGTTTTCTTCATGATGCAGGTTGTTTTTTTTATTTACTTTATTGTTTGTTTGTGTTGGTGTTAATTTATGAGTTTATTTTTTGGGTGGTGGTTAGCTCAATGATACAAATTGCATACCTTTTGGAGTTTCTGAAATCTCTCATAGTATTTTTTGGCATCCCTCGAAGGTTTCCAATTGTAGTGTTTGCACTCTTTATCTCATTGTTATTTTTTTATTGGTGATAAACCCTTCTTTTTCTAGTAATTGTCTAAAATTTGAATATATTGGAATCTGTATAGTCTATAGGTTGGGTTGAATTTCATTACTTGCTTAATTTCGTATAAATTAAGATTATTATTTTTATACTATATATATATATAACAATAATAGTAAAATATATTTTAAAGACACTAGTGACATAAAAGATTAAGAAAGTCTATAATTAATTAATATACATAAATAAAAGAGATAGTATATAAAAATTAAAAATTCAACCATGTAGAAAGCTATATAAAATAAAGTATAGTTAGAAGAGTTTAGAATATATAAAAGATATATAATTTTTTTTTAAAAAAAAATTAACTACCTATGAATTTGGTGAATATTATTTAAAAAAAAAAACAAAAAGGTACTCAACAAGAACATTATGTAATTACAAGGTTTAGAAGAGTGTAGAATATGTATAATAAATATATAAAAATACATATTTTTTAATAACAAAAAAAATAATTTGAACTATCTAGAAGGTTCTATTGAATATTATAAAAATAACAGCAAGTTTTGGTTTTTTGTTCAAATTAGGGTTACTTTCTTCTCCATAAACTCTATCCTTCGTCGCCGCTGCCCAGTTGCCTCTGTGATTGGGGATTGCTCGATTATTAGGGCTTCCCGTTTCTATTAGTACTATCTCCCAAACTTGATTTTGAGTTGATTTAGTTGGGTGATTTTAGTATAATTGCTTTGGGTGCTTGTGTTTGAGCAATGAGATGAGGGGCAACACATTGGAGTGAAACTAAAATTCCGCTGCGGATTTGAGCAACAAACGCAAGATAGAGAAACAATCAAATAAAGGGTCTATTATCAACTCCAAATCTACGAACAACACTTCAATCCAGTTCACTGCTTTTTCATCAATACCTTACGAGAGAGAAAGAGAAGAGGAATGAGCTATTGTTTATAACAGTTGGTTGTATATGACCAACCTGAGAGTTGCGAATCATCTTCCCACGACATCTAGATTTTTCGATAAGGTGCCAATAATTCCATTAGTTCTGAATGCCTCCCTAGAACAATATCTTTACTAATTATGCATTTCTAATCATTTATTCGATACTAAAATTGAACTTCCATGACGTGCAGGTCGATGAAGAGCTTCTAGCCGCTCAAACTGAAGAATGCACTGACGGGAACCATAACCTGTCCTATACGGGATTAGTAAGTCCTATGGTCATGTGGAGCTCGATGCATACCAGGTTTGGAGCTCGTGGGTAAGTATATCGATCTTGAAGCTATACTACTTCCATTTTAAGAAGTACAAACATAGTCTTATCTGCAATTGCTTTTTGTTTTTTCAGGTGGACAACGCCTTGTTTCGATAGCTCTGAAGAGGTAGAAGAAGAAGGTAATGGCTGAATTAAGAAAATTCTAATAATTGAAACTTATCACGGATTGACAATGTCATATTTGTTCAGGGACAGTAATTGAAAACAAGATGAAAGTGTTGCAGAAGAAAGACAGCATGTGCAAGATGCAGCCTTCTGAAGAAAATTCAAAGAAATTTTGGAGTATTTGAGGAATCGAGCTCATACTTCTGCAATTGTAGACAACGCTTGTTCCAACAGCTCTGAAGAGGTAGATGATCAAGAAGGTAATGGCTGACCAAAGATATTCAAATTAGAGGCCGGTAGTCTAACCAGAACTTACGTAAAAAGCTGAATGAAGATCAATTGCCTCGTGAAAAAAGAAAATTGATCCTCAATGGCAAATTACGAACGATGAATGTATGGACAAAGTTGTAAGATCATGTTTGAGAGGATTACTTCTCGAGTATGTTTGCAAGTGTAAACATTACAATTTCATTATAAACATATCTCTTTTGGCAAGGGGTGGCTAGTTGTTTAAATTTAATGATAACTATGATGCTTTCTAGATAATTTGGTTCCAACCATGTAAATTGTGGGTGAAACGTGCCTTACAAATCATACTTTCTTATTTAATTTGTATATTATGCATATACTTTGTACATGCTAATATGCAGCGTGATTCAGTTATAATTGATTGGCTGTTTTAATTCAGATACAAAATTCTTTTTCGCGAACCACATTATGTGACTGCATTATAAATGATTGGCTGCAATTGAAAGTTTTTCGGTCATGTCGTTTTCTGCTTGGAAACAAATACTTTTCAATTTTGTGCAATTTGTTTATTGTTTCCTTCAATGGGATGTAATGAATGACGCAAGTAGTGTATTCGCTACATGCAAATCAGCATATAAAACACAATAGCTCAACATTTGAAAATAGGCCTTTGTTTTTGTAATACTTTCATACAAAGCAACATAGCAATAAAATTTCCATCATGCATGATTGATAGTTCTGTATAATGATATTTTCTGGCATGGCTGATGTTTAAAACTGGCCTAGGTGTTAAAATTTCTGCATACCTGCGACAATTCTTTCTCGATTTATTGGTTCAATTAGCTAGGATTTTGTATCGTTTCTCTTGAGAAAGATGGATAAAACCTTCAGGCTAGGATTCTCCCATTATGATTGGAGATCATCAAGCTTATTTGTATATTAAAAAAACAACTACTTTAGGTGAGTCTGGGAGATACATTTTTCATTTCGTAGAAACAAATATCAATTTCATCTATTGAAATATTCCCATACCATTCTAAGATTCTGAAAGATGATAAATTTGGTTTCAATTTGCAATTGAAATACATACAGATGTCATGCTTCATCACTAGTTTTGCTTATTGTGCACCTGCATTTACATGTACCGTAATAATGGAGTAAATGATTCACCAAGTTAAGGTATTAAGTTCTAACAAGGCATTCTCGAAGACGCTGGAAATAAATTTAAAATGGAGCTGCTAGATTCTTTGGAGTTATCAAATGGCTCCAACATAGAAAGATAGATATGGTTAAGGCCATCCTTTTGATGATGACTCGAGACTGGTGCAGCCGAACCAGCTCCAGTGGGAGGATGAAACCAATCAAGACCTGCTCTACAACGTCCTGGTGCAAATGTTTACAATTATTCAATTAATTTGCAATGCAAATGGCTTGAGGAATCCTCAGTGAAGCCACGCCTGTTACGCTTAAAGCATCTGCATTGGAAGACACAACTTCACGTCAAGGAGTATTACGGCATCACATTTTTCATCAACAAATTTTCCGTCAACATAAATTAACCCATCCACTCATATTTTCCAGGTAATTAATTAATTAAATATATCCATACATTCATATAAATTGCAAGTTTAAATTAAAGCATGAAGACAACACTTGTTTTTTCTCTAAATTACTCCTTACCTAACAGGACCTAAATACACCAACGGACATCAGCCTTTTAAAGCACAAAAATACATTGGATACTTCAAAAATTAAAATCACCATTCAATCCTAATATAAATGGCTTTATATTAGTGTAACCTCTACCCTTTAACACCCTTATTCTGGTGAAACTCCCAAGCATTATTAAGAAAATTCATCGATACTTTCGTATAAATTTCAAGTTTAATAAATAGAAATGGATGATCGATAAGGAGATCAGACCACTGTACTATATTAAAGACCATCCATGGAGAAGTAGTTGTAGAGAGTGGAGGTGAAGGGCTTCATTGGGGACGATTAATGAAGTTTTGGTCTTGAAATTTCTGCTAAATTATGGAAAAGTGTTAGAGACATTATCCTCATATGATATCGGCTAATGCAGTTTATTTATTTATTTGTTAGCATATACCAAGTAAATTTTGCAATACTCGTTAATTTGCCAGCCTGCAATGCATCTATTACATTGGTGGATGTATTAAAGAACTTTCAGAAAAGTAAACATCGAGATTCAATTTTGTTTTTCTCATTTGTTATGCTTATGTATTTCTTTAGATGAGTTTGAATTTGATGCGTAATTACTGTATTCCTATCTAATATTTTACATATTGCAGCCTATACCAAATAAACCTTTTGCTTGCTTGGATTTTTTAGTTGTTTTCCAAGGGTAAAATTTTGTTAGATTTTATTTTGATATTTGAGCTGTTTTCCAATGGTAAAATTTTGCTAGATCTCATTAGTATTTTATTTTGATTTTTCTTAAAAAAAAGGTTTATAAATTATATTTAAAAATAACAATAATATTTATTTTATAAATTATATTTAAAGGTACGGGACAGTGGAATTTTAAATTAGAATGAAGTTTTCTATTTTTTATATTTCTTAAGTTGTAATTTTAGAGAGAATTTGGGAGTGTTTGAAACTTTGAGGTAATTTGAAATTAATACAGAATTATATGAAGAAAATAGGTGTTGATTATTTGGATGAATGCATAATTTCGCAATTGGAGTTACCTCCAATATTATTATTATTATAATTATTATTATTATTATTATTATTATTATTATTATTATTATTAATTAATTAAGACATGTAGGGTTTGCTTGTTTGGTACATATTAATATTATTCTAAAAAAAATTAATATTTTACACACTCATTATTTTTGTATTAAGTACACAATTTTTTATACTGAAAAAATATTCATTAAAATCATTTCACAATTAAAACAAAGCCTTATATTTATGCCATAATTTTTTTAAAAAAATATTATATACAAAAGTATTGAATTGGAATATTGTATGAATTATTCTTGGAGAAAATAGAAAAGATTATATACCTCCATTATTATGATTATTATTTTTTTAAGTCACTTCTTTTTCTGATGTTACTTTATTTTTGAATAATATCTAAAAGTAAATACACTAGTAATATACAAAGTGCAGACGAATCTTAAAATAAATTAGAGTAAATAAATATTATAAAACATGACAAAAAAAATAAAGGTATCTAGAAAAATATTATAAAAATAGCTAAGAGTCATGGACCATTGATTAGGGTTCTCCCAGGGTTCTCTTATTTCTTCTTCACATAAATCCGTCCACTCCTATTTGTTTTTCAAGACACTCTGTCCCGATTAGGGATTAGGGTTATGTGTTTGGATTTTGCTGGCTTAGTTCTCTATTATTCTATGAATTTTAATTTTTAGTTTTTAATGAATAGTTGCTTTCTTGTTTTATTTTATTCTGTTTGTTTCGGGTGCTTTTGTTGGAGCTATGAAATAAGAGAAGACGAATGAGATCAGAGGCACCAAATTAAGTGAAATTAGGATTTGGCCGGATATTGGAAATAGATCGTATTACTGCACCACGTGGAGCATATTTCTTCATCTGTCTAAGTGGACAGATCTTGACTTTGTGTATGAATAAAATACTGCAATGAATATTTAAAGCATTGACTGTATTGGATGGTAAATCTAAACTTTTTGTGTTGCAAAATCCAGAACATATTTTTTTAAGGTGGGGTCCTCAATCACTTGAGATACCCTCGCTTTTCGGTCTGCTTGTCGTAGCCAAGAGCCTTTTTGTATGAAGTGGCAAGTGAATTGTAGTTCAAGGTTTAATCCTGGTTTGAGAATCAACAAGTCGTAGCAAAACGGATTTTATGATGCGGCTACCTAAGGCTCCAAGGTGATTTGAAAATTGAAATGTAGACGAAAGGCATTCAACCATTGATGAGAAATCAAATGATAAGATTTTAAAATAATGTCGGAACATGTTTGTTCCTATCAATGAAAATATATTAACCAAGTCAACAAAATTTAAAACCAAATTATTCAATTCAACTTCTACTATTGTTTGCTTCTTGTATGGAACATCATATATATAATTTCAAGTATGATGTTTGTGATATCCATGATATTTGTTAAAAAAATTATTTATTCTTGAACAATAAATGTTGCGTATCTAGTGTTGATTTAAAATAGTTTACCACTCAAGTGCTAACAACGTAAAGAGATTGTAACATTGATACCTTTTCAACGCGGTATCTCGTGACCATTTAGTTGGAATGTTGTGTGAATTATTATTTAGGGCACTTAATATCTCTGCTGTTATTTTCTTTAAATAACAAACTAAAACAAGAATGTCAACAACATAGAAGTAATGCAGCCAAATCTGAACAGAAAACCCTAATCACAAGTATGTGAAATAGAAAGAGGGCTTGGGGGATTCTAGGAAGAAGAAAGAAGAAAAGCCTTATCAACGGTTCGATTATGTTGTGCTCTTTTCCTTCACGGTTTTCCTATTTTAATAATGTAGAAATGAAGTTTCTAGATTTTCAATATTTTTTTTATGTTTTCTAATATTTATTTATCTTTACTTATTTATGCTAATTTATTCTAGATTCTTCTTTACTTTTTATATCATACAATAGTGGATTAGGGAATGTTTCGCAATTAAGCGTTAGTTTTTAGTTGTTAGTGTAGACAAAAAAAATTGTGTTATATTTTTATAAACACAAGATCGTATAAATTACATTTAATTTAAATATATGCGGGTCCTATTCTCTATTCGGATCCTTTGATTCTCTGTCCGGGTCGATCCATTTTTCCAATTTGGATTTGGGTGGCTTCTTTGATCCGAAGGGATTTTGGTCTTCGGTTTGACTTCGTCGGTTTTTAGGAAACTTTGGTATCCGTGTTGGCGATTTTGATCGTCAACTTTGGATTGATGCCTCCTTTG